TATTATTTTATTATTATTATTATTATTATTATTATTATGGTGATGATTACTCTCGAACCCAACATATTTATGAAATGTAAGCAGCTAGCTGTCAATGTTTTCTCATCTGTGTTGAAATACTTCTTTCTCATGTAGTGTAGACTGAGGTTTTTCTCGTGCACAAGAATATTTTGTCATGGGAAAGAACTTTTTTTTTCTCATATGAAAAAAAAACTTTTTCTTTTAATCTTTCAGAAGAATTTTTTTACTCATATGAAAGCACTTTTTTTTCTCTATGTTTTTTCAGAGACCTCACAGTTCCTACTTCATCATGCGTGTGGACACGAGGGTGTCGATGGTGGTGGTGTTTGAGACAAAGAAAAGCGAGAAGGACTCGGGCATCAACGGCTTCATGACGGAGATGGCCGCACAGCTCAGGTGTCAGACCATCATGGCGGCCCTCAAGTCTTTTGCCAAGTCCTGATAGATGGCTTTTGGTGATAGTTTGTGGAATGGGGTAGTGAGGAGTGTGTGTGTGTGTGTGTGTGTGTATGTGTAAGTATTTGTGTGAATGTAAGTGTATTTGTGAGTGTGTCTGTGTGTGTATGTAACTATAATGTAATTGTGGATGAGAGAGAGACAGAGAGAGAGACAGAGAGAGAGTAGAAAAAGAGTAGACTTTCTTGCTCTTTTATAAAGAGTTACATAAGTACAGGCAAACTGAGTATGATAGAAGTAAATGTAAGAATGAAAGAGAGAGAGAGGGGGTGGGGGAGAGGCGAAGGTAGAGAGAGACAGAGAGAAAGAGAGAGAAACATTTTACTAGTGCAATATAGTTTATGCATTTGTGTGTGTGTGTGTATGTGAGCTTACTCTGCGTTTGTGTACATGCTGAAAGATAAACAAAAATGTGGATGTATAAATATTTCCTTATGCTTCTGTGTCTGCACATACCTCTCAATCACTTGGAGAAAATTTGAAATTATTTTGTTATGACTGATAAAAACTTTCAAGGGAAGATATAATAATAGTGATAGAAATAATAATAAAGATTATAATAATAATAAATTGCATTCGTATAGCGCATACTGCCGCTCGACAGCAAGTGCTATGCTCTTTACACTATATATTGGAGATAGTATAAGGTACCACTCACCTCGCGCTATAGGCCTACTGAAGCTACAGAATATTAAGGCTCCTTGTCTTGGTTAAAATCAACTTGTTATGTTGGAAGGAGACACTTTCAGAAAAACTGTTGAAATTGTTCTAGATGGCCACTCATTGTCTAGGAGAAAAGCGTTTGTCTTAGACGGGAACATTGTGCACAGAGTCATGGGAGGGAAGTGGGAAGTGATCATTTGTACATGTTGTTGTCTTGGACAGGGGGTCATTGTATCAGGTTTGACTGTAATTCCTTTTTCCTTGATTTAATGTAAAGGTGATTAGTAAATGCTCAGGTGTATTTCTATCAGTTCAGCGTTGGTGTACAGTTAAGGTCTGATTGCATGTACGGGCATCTGTGGTATATCAGTGAAGTGCTTTGTCATTGTTTGCTGTAGATGTAAGTCCGGTTCCTATGTGGGGAGGTTTTTTAATGGAGTATCTCCATCAGTCAGTTGGGACCTTGTGTCCATTTTAGCTTAAGCTGGTCTTCTAAAAAGGTAGGGTAAAAAAGTCCACTGTTCTCTAAATGATCAATATGTTGATTGGGGCGTAAAACAATGACAATTACATTATAGTTTCCATGTAAATATTTCTTGAAATATGAAATAAGAATAAATTAGACCCCTTTTACCCTTTTATCATTTTACTTAGATTTTAATGACAGCCGTGCCGAAATTACTTTTGAGACTTTACAAACTGAAAATTGTTAAAGAAATGTATTTTAAGGAGACATGCGTGCGTGTGTGTGTGTGTGTGTGTGTGTGTGTGTGTGTGTGTGTGTGTGTGTGTGTGTGTGAGAGAGAGAGAGAGAGAGAGAGAGACGATGTATGATCGGCGCGGGGACTGTATGTATGTATGTATAGTATACGGTTTTACGGCGCTCGCAACTGCTAAGGTCATATGAGCGCGCGGCGCGGGGACAGTATAGTGGACATTGCTTCTGTATGAACCATCCTTGCACTTGTCTGATTGAAGGTCATGATGAGGCTCCCTGGACTGCAAGAAGTGCTGTCGGTTTCTGCAAAGCAAACCTCTCTTTGTATGTATAGTGTAAGACCTTTTATCTACTTGCTCTTTTATTTGAGCTGTTCAAAGCTGTGGTAAGAAAACAAAAAAAAAGGCCCAGTTCTTATTGTGGGCGCTGCAGTAATTGCCCCACAAAATGAAAGACTTTGCATATCTCTCCTTCTTGAAAAAGCTGCAATAGGCAGAGCAGATGGCATCAGCGTTTCTACCAGAAACTGACTCGTTCCATGCGACTGCAACGTTGTCACTTGATTTGCCAAGTCCCGCAAATGTCTGGTTAAACACAACGATTCTTTTCGTGAAGGTGCATGACTTAACTCCGAGTAGGCGGGGTAGCATCATGATCTTTGAAGGTCAACAGATGTAATCACCTCTTGATCATCAGGGGTTGTTCCCGCATCCGATTTGTATGCAGCCCTAGACATGTTTTCTTCCCTTGATGTGCTCTGAATGGTGTATGCACTCTTCAGCGCCCAATACAGCAAAACCAATGTACATCCTTTCCACTTGCTTGCGGTATGTCGCAAAACAGACTTCCATCGATGGCCTTAGGAAGTATTGGTACGTTTTGGCACGCCTTGGTGAAACGCCGGTGGTATGGCGTTGGGCTGCTTCTTGCTTTATGCTGTTCCAAACGAACTGTCGCCTAGTTTCGCCACCCATGTTTTAATTGTAGTGTTTTATGAGTGTAGGACAGGGTACCTCGATGTGGCGCTTACTATGCCATCATACCTGCGTCCTTTGTGAGTGGGTTCGACACTGAACATTTGAGGCAACCATGACAACCTTGTTGTCGTACCACTGACAACATCCAATTCTCCTTGGGATAGGCAAAAGCAGTGGGAGAGTACACGTCTTTGATTTTCTCCTTCTCCTCATTATACACATCCCCCGTCTTGCAGCCTTTCTGCTGCTGAAAAAGAGTCAGTGTATAATTCATCACATGGGTTGACACTTTCCTCTGAGAAAGTGCTCTTTTCACAGCCATTGAGGCATGAAAGAGCACAATCTCAGTGAAACATGTGGCAGCACAGAGCGTATTGCCACCAGCTCCGCCATGTCATTGTCGTTGTCGACAAACACTGTTGTAGTTCTCGTGCTGTCAAAACATCTGCAAAAGAAAGAAAGACACAGGGGCAAAATATCACTTGTTTTCAGAAGAAACAAATGCATGCAACACACAGGAATGCCATGCCCATTCCCATCTATCGACAGAACATTGAATGGGGCATAGTCGCACGAATTACATTTGTAGATGGCATCCATTGCAAGTGTTTCTGGAAACTGTTCTATTGTCTTAATCATCTCCTTTGTTATAAATGCAAGATATTGGAAAGTTCCATTCACCTGGACTCCAAATTCAAACTTCCCACCCCCTTCTTCAATCTCATCGATCACTTTCTGGACCCTCTCCGACTCGGTTTCTGTTAAGGTCTTGTCCAGCCTCTTACTCTTACGAAGGTTGTGAATGACTTTTGGGATACAGGATTTATTCTGCTTCATCTTGGTGTACAATGATACATCCTTTGCACAAGTTTATGTTTTGAATGTGTGCGCATGCGCTCGCAAAGTTCGACCAATCAGATGGTTTTTGGACAGTTGAAACTTTTCTATCTGTATGTGCAAGTCAATGTACGAAACCGAAAGGTGGTATCTCCCATCGGCGAAAGTATACACGAAGTGGGCCGGGCGTGAAGTACGAAAAGCGTGAATGAAAAGAAGGTAGGACATGGCATAGTGATGTGTTAAAAGTGTAGTAATACATAATAATATAAGCAGAAGCATGTAAGGCGTAGCTAGGTCAGCCTGCACATTCCGAAGTTAGGATTGATTGTGGTCTGGATTGAAGTGAGAAGACATGTCCCGGCCCGAAAAAAAATTGAAGCTACCATTGTTAAAACTACCACTGCCTCTATAATTCAAATTGTATACTGAATATGAATTAGGCCATCCTCTGATAGAACGAGATGATTTTCTCTGTTGACTGGCTTGGTTTGTGAACCAGGCTAGTTCTGTAGCAATTTCAACGTTGTTAAGCGCTGTTTGACTGAATGTTCCTGTGTTGTTCTCGAAAAACCAGAACAAGTGAGATGTCTCTTCATTGAATGTCGACCTTACCACTAGATTGAAATACTCTTTTCGCAAAGGAGATACTTGTGCAGATAAAACTATAAATAACCTTTCAAGCACCTCTGTGTTGAGGGGTTGGATTAGAATGTACCACTTTCAAACCAGTCCCAGTGTACCTCGCACACATAGACATTATGTTCAGAAGTGGGTTCGAACTCGTGTTTTATCCCACGCGATGAGTCGTTCACCTTTAAATGAGAAGGCAGCGTTACTCGGCTGTAGGAGTCTCTGAGTGACTCAAAGTCACGATGGACGTCGATAAGGGCAGGGTCCCTCTCGACCCTGGGCTAATTTGGCGTTGTCAGCACTTTGGATGCTGGAAGTTCGGTGTTGTTGTCATCAGATTGAAATTGCGTTACAACATAAGTGGCCAGTCCAATCCTGGTTATTGATGTACACTCATGATAGAGATCTCCTGGGTCTACGAATCAGTTATGTTTCTGTGATGAAAAATGGATTTCTGAAATGGAAAATAAACAGTGCTGATTCTTCAGAGCTGAAAATTCGTTTAAAACTTTTTTTTTGTTTGGTTCTTTTTGGTTTGTTTTGTTTGCTGTTGTTTTTATATTATTATATCCCTTTGTACTTTGTATCTTCGCTGAAAGTACCACTGTTGTAAATCTAACATTTTTTCTTTGCCTGTGGTTTCTATCTGTGTGTCTTTATGTGTCCTCCTGATTCCTCTCCAACTGATTAAAAGACTCACATAGTCTTACTTACCTTCAACTACCCTACTTTCTTTCTCTCTACACTTTCCATTTCTTGGAAACTTGAATTTTGGTGTCTGTGGTGTAGTGGTAAGGTGGTTGGCTGTCTCATGCAGGAGACAGGAGTCTGAATCCCGAGTGGGAAGAAATCTTTATGGGGTGTCGTGGTCTTTCTGCCTGGGATGTCATGTCTCTCTCAGCCCGGATTGGTCCTGGTAGGCAGTGTAGGAAGCACATCTCCTAACATATCTAAATTGTGTGGATGGAGATGTTAAATCATATGACTCTTTTTGTGTCATTGTTCTTTTCAGATTTTCTTTACTCAAACAAACAAAACCCTTACCATCTACAAAATCGGAGTCTAAAACCAAATAATATTATTCCTCGTGTCGTACATACTGTTGTGAATGCTGACATCTTAGATGCTACTACTGCTACTCATAGGACAGGTAAGCAAACCTCATCATTCACCAGCAGCCGGGTTTCGCTGACTATTCATTACATGTATTGTGGAGGTGAACCAGTTTTTTTAAAACCAAAAAGAAGAAGGACCCC